TCAGAGCTTTAAATGCTGCTCCTGCACTGTGGGACTGGGCACTTGTGGAACCATCCAGGTGGGGTGAGGGGTCCAGGCTGGACACCTGCTCTCAGGTTGAGGGGGTGTTTCCCTTCAGCCACCCCCCACTTTATCCTTTCGGCAGGTTGAAATCCCAGTACCAGAGATCGTCAGCCTGAGGCACACATTGCTAAAAACAGACCAAGAAGGACAGAGACAGATGCACTTACCAAATCTGAGCTCGTGCCACTGTCATTAACAGTTTTCCTTTGCCTTTGGATGCTCATTCAGGGATAATTCAATGGCACTGCACTCTGGAAAACATGTGAGAGGCACTTGGGTGTGTGACATTTTCTTTCTCTTTTTTTTGCTTTTCTCTGCAAAGCCCACGGCACACTGTTAACTTGAAAATCTACATTTAAGGTGATCCCTCTGCACAGGATGTAACAGCAGCTGGACAAGCTGTGCCAAACTACCTGAGGCTTCAGTCCTGCTGTTGTAGGACCCACCCCCTTTTCCTGACTTACCCATCTGTGACCCCTCCTTCGCCATCGCCGCCACGGCGTCCTCGCGGCTCTCGAAATGCACCTCCACTTCTCCCGTGGCCTCTCCCTGGGAGTTGTATTCCACCAGGATCCTCGTGGGCCTCAGCGGAGCAAAAAACTGAAAAGAGAAAATCTGGTGAGAAAGAAACAGTAATCCAAGTGATGGGTATTAACACATCCCAGCAAGCCTTAATCCCTTCTTATCCACGGAGGGGAGAGGATCCCTGTTGTGCCCCAGAGGCCTTGGCTGCCCCAGGCACCTGTACCCCACATTCCACCCGAAGCCACAACAGCTCTGAGAGCTAACACACACAAATCAATCAACAACATGCAGTTGCTCCAGCTGTAACCATTAAGGGAGGGCTTGCACTGGGAATGACAGCCACCTCCCATCCATAGCTTCACTGCAACTCACATTTATTATGTCTTGGGCAGTAGCTTGGGTAGGGAAACCCCTCATGCGGACACAGTGCCGTGCTGGTGGTGATGAGGTGTCCCCAGGCTCTAAAATGCTCCTGGAGGTTTCCGTTTCTCCCCTGTACAATCCTGTGGAATGGAAGGAAAAACCATCATTAGTGCTTGCAGTTACCCTGCCATAAAAGCTGTGGACGCGTGGGGTGAAACGAAGGGGCCTTGAAGAACACCCACAACAGGGAGGGACTCACTGTTTTCTTCCTGGGCGTTGGAGCCTCTCATGCCTCTCCATCCCCCTTCTTCAGGGAGGGATTCATATTCTCTTCTCATTTTGGAGTAGGTCATCAACTGCCTGTCATAGGACATGTGTCTTTGCATCTGGTGCTTTCTGCTTACGTACACTTCTATATACCTGGAATGCAAAGGGGAAGAGCACATGGCACACCTGGCTCCCAGGGTCTGGGTAAAACACCTTCAGGATGCTTCCTGCCTCAGCTCTGCTCAGCTACTTGGGGTGAGAGCCCTGGCATGGGAAGATTCCGTGCTGAATGATTCACTCTTTTAACTGTTTTCCCCTCACTGCACTTCTGCAAACTGAATTATTTCTACAAACCCCAAATTAAAAACAACAGCCAGCCCCAAAACAGCTCACAGAACAAGCAGACCCAGCAGACGCACAAGGTCACGGGAAATACTTCAGTGGAGCCCTGAGATTTTCCATATGGCTACAGAATTGATGGGATTGCACCAGCAGTGTTGTATCAGGCAACTTTCACAGCACTGAAGGAACAGTGTGGTGATGAAGGGAATATGCACAGCAAAGGGAGAGGGCTTTCCTCCCTTCCCAAAGCCAGAGTAGGGGAAGTAACCCCCTGTACAGGCTGGCAGAGCTGACAGCTCAGCTGCCCCTCAGACCCCCACTCTGTACTGGGCACTGCTGGAGGCCAGTTCTGGATAAAACCGGGAAGAATGAACAGGAGCAACTACAAGCAGTTTTGGAAACCCCTCCATTTCCTGGCTAATCACATGGAAATGCAGGTGTGTGAGCTCAGGTGGGTCAGTCAGGTCTGCTCTCGTTCCACCACGACAAAGGAAAAGCTAACAGTAGGTTCAGAATTAATCTCTACTGGAGAGGAGGGAAGTCTGTTAATTAATTCAATTAATTAATTAATTTCTGCCTACAGAGCAGCTGTCTACTTTTGAGGGGGAGGGGGCAAACACAATGCATTCTGGGAAAAGGAAGCAAACTGTAAAAAAGCAGGAAGGCAGGGGTGTCCAGAAGAGGTAAGGAGAAATCTTTTGTTATGTGGAGTGCAGAAAAAGTTTTATAGATTACTGAAGTCAGAAAACTCAGCAGGGGGAAAGCACTTTTGATTGTTTGGGTTTTCTTTCCTGAGCACAGTTCTGGAGGTTTTTAAAACTTGTGCAGGTGTGGTGCTTAGGGACAGGGTTTAGGGCTGGGCAGTGTTGTGGTTAATGTGTGGACACAATGATCTTAAAGGCCTTTTCAAACCCAAATGACACCTTTATGCTTGGAAAAAATGGTCTGTGCTTCTGCTTGAGAGGAGAGACGCACTGGTGAGGTAAGTGTGTGGCACAGGGCTCAGTGCTCTGGAGTAAAATGGTTAACTTCCCAAGGAAGGAGGGCAGCCCATGGGGATCTGGTAACCAAAGAGGTGGGAGATGGTGTGGTGTTGGGAAGGGACTCAAGCCAGGTAACCTGTTCTTTGTCTGGTACAGGGATGAAGGGAAGGGGGCTGGCTGACAAAACTGCCTAAAGCGAGGAGGAACCTGGGGGAAATCTGGAGGGTCACACGTCTGAAGGAGGCAGAGAATTCCTGTGCACTTGGTGCTGGGCAGCTTGTGTCTATCCAGTGTTCCCCTCTCCGAAGGCTGTCAGCCCTTTTTGCTGGGATGAGAACCTCTTCAGGAACACCTAAAAACACCTGGGACTCTTCTCCGAGAGGCCCCGTATTCCCCCAGGCTACGAGGGCTGCAGGTGCCTCTGCTTTCCTTAATGACACTGTGAGTGCGAGAAGAGCCGTTTGTTCCACCCGGCAGGAAGGGAATAAGGTGCTCCATAACATGTTCTTCTACCCCCTGGGACCCCAGGGAAGTACCCACCTATTTCCCATATACTCTTTGTGCCGTAACAGGGCTTTAGCTGCCATTTCAGGAGTTGCAAACTGCACAAAAGCTTCTCCTGTTCTTCTGTCTCCCCGATAAATGAAGGCTATGTCTGCTATTTTCAAACCTAGAGATTGGAGGAGAGAAAGAGGCATTGACCTTGGCAGGAACTTGTGCTATAGCTCAGAAAGACTTCTTTTTTCCTTATTCTTCTGGTTTTTGACTGCCTAATCAGGCAGTTAAGTAGTTCTGAAACAACTGCTCATGCTGACCTAAGTGTCTTCTTTAAATTCTGATTTATTTGCTTCAAGTTAGTTTTCAATGAAGGCTTAATTAAAAAAAATAAATCAACTTGAGGCTTCAAATAACTGTGGAAATAAGTAAATGCAAGTTCTAGGGAATAAAGAGGTCCAGAGCACAAATATTCTTGAAATTTTCTCTTATTGTTATGGTAGTTTTTTCCCCAGTGAGTTTCAATTTCTGTGCTGTGTATCATCATCTTGGGGAGCCAGGAACCACCTGGACTGCTCTAGCAGTGAGTATGGGACAAAGTCTCCAGTGGCATACATGATCCACCTATCCTGATCGTGCAGCTGTGAACACCCACACTGCATTTACCTGGGCTGTAACTACCACAGAGACCTTCCTCCTTCTCAGCTTTGCCAAATGTCGCACTGGTAGCAACCCAATGCCAGATCCCAGCATCTGGCTCCCTCTGCTTTTCTTCCCCTGGCCCCAAGAACTGATCCTGGGTTAGACCTGCACAAAGTCAGAGGTTCAGGGAAACTCTGCAGCCTGAGTGACTTCCAGAGGAACACCAACTCCTTGTGGTGTTTAAGATTCTCAAGGCTGCACCTGCTTTGCTTTCATCCCTCTGGGGAACAACAAAGCATCAACTTAAGGCAGTAAATGCCTGGCCAGCGAAGAGCACAGAGCGGGCTGAGTTACCTGCGAAGAAATCCGCAATGTCCTCCTCGGTGGAGCTGAAGGGAAGGCCTCGGAGCAGCACCACTCCATCGTTCATGGCTTGGGATTCATCCCGCAGGCTCCGCATCAAGCCCTCCACATCGCTGTCGTGGACTTCAAACACTGCAAGGAACACGGGCAGGGAGCGTTCTCCCTCACAGCAGCACTCCGAGGGCATTCCCCTACAGCAGCTTTCCCCCTCTGCAAAGCTCCATCCTGTTTCTTCCCCCACCTCATGCTCTATGGTCCTGCCCCTTTGCTTTCCCTGCCCAGCCTTGGAAAATCTGGATCAACGATGCCTTACTGGCTGGTCTGCTGCTCAGTTCCCAACCCTGCACCTCTCCACGCCAGCCCACTTTATTATTGCTAACGAGGCTGCTCTTATTCACTTGGAAGTTTTGTTCCAACGTCACTCGTGCTGTTCCAAACCCACCTTTCACGTAGCGTGGGCCCATGTACCTCAGGTGCTTTTCCAGGGCTCTCTGGACGTCTGCTTTGGACTCCAGCTCGATCAAGGCATCCCCCCTGCGCCTCCCATCCCTGTTTAAGAGGAAGTGCACCCCGTTCTCACCGTTCCGAATTCTACAGCCTGGAAATCAAGGAACAGACCACAGAGGAACATACAGAACTACATCAAACACGGGGGTCTCTTTATCCTGACTACAGTGCACAGAGCTGATCCCATCCCAGCACTGCAAAACAAAGAGTGGAACACACCTATTCCTAACCTTGAATCTGACTTCAAACCGACTTAATTTAGTCTGGCAGGTTAGTAAGTAATTCAAAAACTTGGATCTGGCCTCTAGGAGGATGTGGCAATGTATTACAGTATGGAGGGATCAGCTCTGAAGAGGTATGGAAAAGCCTATGAATTAGAAAGCAGCACTGAAGTTTAAACCAGTGAGTAAAAACACACTCCAGTTTCTTGAAGAGAGGAGTTGATGGACTAAAGCCAGCCACAATGGTCTGTACAGGCATCACTTTGAATTGGATTGCCTTCGCTGTGGGAAGGCAAAGACTTGTACAATTAAAGAAGGGAAAGACTTGTACAATTAAACATAAAATGCCATAAGGGTGACCTTCTAGTCGTTGTCTGGCAGGTTGGAAATTGAATACTTGCTTTATATGTGCCAATTGTGGATATTTTTGCGGCAGTAATAAGACCTCATCTTTCTCTGGCTACCGATCTCTAAATTTTCTTTCTGCTAGGTAATCACGAGCTACGGTTTCAGAGGCAGCAGAGAGGACAGTCAGCCAGGAAAATGAACAGCCATACTATCAAAGAAGGTAAGCACATCTTCCTCGGTGCACGAGAAGGGGAATCCTTGTGCCCTGACGAGGTAGACACCGTCACTCTCTGCCTTGGGCGAGCCGGGCTCCTGCTCTGAGAGGCGACCTTCCTGGGACGGAGCATCGGTGACCTGGCGCCGAGACACGAGAAACCCCCCGCGTTAAGCGGCGGAAGGACGCGGGCTCCGCG